ATCGTAACAGTGTTAACTTCATTTTCCTCATCAATCGTTTTAGATTCCTTCAATCTTACATCCACTTTTCTCGGATCGTTTATCTGTTTCACATTCTCCACTAAAAATGAATTTTCATCTCTCGATTTCTGAACAAATATCTCCTCCCTAACGTCTGTGCAGACGAGTTTTTCGGTAATCATATCTGGTCCAATCATCTTCCCCTTCATTTTCTCATCTATGATCTGAGCAGTAGAAACTGTGAAATTCTCAACGACTCTTGCAACATCGACCAAATTGCTTACAGGGTCTTTCACTCTCTCCGGAGGAGACAGGACACGCTTTGGTGGTCCTTCAACCTGCATGTCAGCAATATCGAAGTCACTGTCCATGTCTCTTGTACCCCAACGTCCGTGGTCGTTGCTCTCAACACCGTTCTGAGCTTGTCTAGTGCCCTTGACCTCCTTTCCCTGAAATTCTGCAACTTTTTTAACGATCTTGGCGTCTCTGATAGAATCACACCCTTTACCATTCTGCACCTCCCTCTCCTCTTCGACCTTGCTCTTTTTGACGGTGACTCTTTCCTTTTTAACCTTATTCTTATTTTTTTCTCGTCCCTGAGATTTAAAGTCATCTCGCCAATCATCAATTAGCTCTGTTTCTTCTTCCTCACTAACATCGTCACCTGTTGATGTACTCTCTTTGCAGCACTTCTTCAATGGCTTTTTGAAATCCTTAACATCAGATCCTACAGCAGCTTCTGGTGAAGGTGCACTTCCAGAAACAGCGTTCTTAGAGCCATCAAAGCTACTTAATTGTTGCCTTCTTTTGTCTTCAAGGTCTTTCAGGATAGTTGCAGTATCCAGTTTTGTATTTAAAGAGGACTTGATCTCCATCAAAACCTCATCGACTGCTGTACCTTTATTAGCTACTCTTCCATTTCCCACGACAACATCTTTTGCAGATGAATCTCTCTTGGGTTGATCAATTTTCACATGATCGGTCTTGTCTAATTCTTTCCTAACGCCGTCAACAGAATCGAGGCGCTCCCTTCCTTTTGGGCTCATAATGTGGTCCTTTGAAGTACCTGGACTGCTGACAAGCTTTCCACCCTTCGGACTGCCTTTTCTTCTTGCAGGGGTCGCACTTCCACTGCGAGGAGTCTTTGAGCGACTCTTTCTAGTCTCTTTCGACCGAGACCTCGTCCGTCTTGAGCTTCGTGTAGTAGATCTGTGGTGTGATTCATAGGTACGGTATCGTCTGGGTGATGGAGTTTTCCCCCTACAATTTTCAAAATCAAAACATTAGACGTATCAACAGGCTACGGTACAGAAGAGTACAACCCTGCAAAGCTATAAATCTTGCAGTTCGCCTAATTACGTCAAGGTAAAAGGGACTAGTTTGCTGTGCGTAACGACCCGACGTACATAAACACAAAGCATTAATTCCAAAATATAAATTACTTGCCTGAGTGACCGTGACTGTGAACCTGATCGTGTTCGTGACCTCCTCCTCACGCGGTCACGGCTTCGACTCCGACTTCGGGCTCTGCGGCCACTCCGTAAGCTATAAGGATCTCTATTATCTCGCTCCCTCTCCCAATCTCGCCTGGTATAGTACGATGAGTATGAATCACGTCCACCCCTGTATCGAGAGCCGCGCTCTCTGCTCCGATAAAGGTTACGATCCCTGTATCTTGACCGAGATCGCCCACGGCGAAGCCGAGCCGGAGTAGCTGATCGAGAGCGACGGTCACGGTGATACCTTATGGGCGATCTTGAATTGGACCGAGACTTCGTTTTCGAACGTGCACTGCAAAAGACAAACCCCATAAAAGGAAATTTTAGATAACCAAATACTTGTGGAACCTGAATTTTCCTTCATGTCGAAACTAAATCTCATGCAATCATCGAGTATTTTTAAATGGAATCACTAGTACACCAAATTGCAGAGAGAATGTGAAAGAAGCGACTCTTCACAATATTCCAGGAAAACTTTTCAAAACATGAATGCAACTAAAACTGAATTCTGCATCAACAATTGTGGCGTCTAATGAAAGTAATTAACCACCTAGTCTGGCACAATTACTGTATAGTGATTATTCTTGTGTCCTCTAGGCAACTAGAATGTCGATATGGCATATTAATTAGAACTTATGCAAGAAAAGGCTCCGGGAAAACAATAGCCCACCTAGGACTGGTTTGAACTGTTTCGGGTACACCAGCTACTTCCACACCATCATTGGGACCAGCCAGTCGTTTGGATATTTCTGCAGCTCGGGCAGATGCCATCTCCGCTGCAGACTTCACAGTAGCCGCCCGAGCTGCTGCTTGTTGCGTGGCTAATGCCTGCTGCATATACAGGGCCTGCTGAAATTGCATTTGCTGCATGACTACAGCTTGTTGCATCATCATAGGCAATTGAGGTGGTCCCATTCCATTCAGGGTAGACCCAGTACCATGCTTGCCAGAACGTGGTTTTCTTTTCAACTCAACCTTCAGGTTCTGTCCTCCAACTGGCATGTCATTAAGAGACAGCCCGGCCTTGGCACCTTCTGGCCTTGAGTACTCCACATACGCAGTCGTTTTAGATTCTGACATAGCACAATCTACAACTGTTCCACAATAGTTGAATAATTGGCGCAGCTGATCGGCGGTTAAAATAGGGTTGATATTGGTCACGTGAAGGGTACAAATTGGCTCATGATTGTCTTCATCGTCCTCTTCTTTCCCATCCCCATGGTCTTGACCTAGGTTAAATCACATGCAGGGTCAGTGCACAGCATCATTGACTTTCGTTGTAACAACTCATGTTTCGAATAATTTTGAATCAATTATATTTCAAGATCTTGAAGTATAACGTAATATTATCACCATAAATATCATTTAAGTACACAACAGCTACAGATGCTTAAGGACTGAAACTAAATTCAGCTTCGTGTAGAACCATGATTCATGTACAGGCTTAACAACCATAGAACCAAGTGCAAAGTTTAAAACTCTGAGATTTAGACAAGACAAAGACACAGGGCATTGCGAAAACCCAGTAGAACGCTGTTCAAAACAAAGGAAACCTGAAAAGATAAAAACATGCATGGAAACACTTACCCTTGCCAGTAAATCAAATGGCCGACGCTAAGCACCCTACATTGCTATCCTTCTTAACAACACAAAAAAATTGCAAAAAAGAAACAAGCGTCACCTTAAACTTTAACCCGTCAATAAATTGTCGACCGTGCAACCTGCAAACGTCTCATGCTTAAATATAATCTCTCGTACGTCAGTTTAACGACCCCAAGTCCAGAATATCAAAATCTTCTCAGATATTTAAACCTAAATCAACCGATTCCAAAAATACGAAAATTACACACCTGCTTGCTGTTGTTGCTGCTGCTGAGCCGCTTGAGCAGCCTGAAAGGCATTTGCTGCCGCAATGCTCTGTGCTGCAGCCATTGCTGCAGCAGACGGAGCCATCGGCATTTGACTCAATCCTCCCATTGTGCTCCCTGCTGCCAAGGCGGTCATCAATTGATTCTGAGGAGGGTGATTGTACTTGCAATCTGTCCTAGTACACCGTCCATTCAAATAATCTCTGCAAACTTCACCAAAAACAGCCCCAAGACCTGGCAGGACAGCCCCGCCTGAGGTCCCCGTCGTAACCCCAGGAATCATCCCCAACATACCTGGCAACATCCCCTGCATACTGAATGGCCCTATTTGCTGACTTACACCCATGTAGGGCGATGCCCCTAGCATAGGAGCCGATGTGGGCATCATACTGACACCTAGAGGTACATTTCCCCCGCTGAAGAAGACCGGAAATGGACTCCCCGATATAGGATGCCCGTTGCACTCCACGCTCACCATGTAATCCCCCCGCTTCGCCACCGCGTACGTCGCTGTATACGTCCCGTCTGCATGATCCTTCACCACCGCATCCTGCTCTACCCCTCCCACTCCTGCCCCAGGAGTCACTCTAACCCTAATGTACGCTCCACCGTGCGGAATACGCCTCCCATCTGAATCCTTCATCACCACAACAAACGACGCTGCCGCTCCAGCGGCTCCACCCCCCACCCCTGTTCCCGCAGCCGTGCATTTCCCAGGATCCACAGGTCCTATCGGCTTCTTCTCCAATTGATCCACCTCTTCTCCATCGCTATCCGAGTCCATCTCTCCACCTCCTCCTGGCGCCCCTCCTTGCCCCTCCACATCCCGAAATGTGGCATCAAAAGCTGCTCTCGCGGTCGCTGCCTTCTCCTCCTCATCCTTCACCTTAGCTTCCTCCGCGTGCTTCATCCATGCGGGGCGCGTGAGAGCCATTCCACGCCCCGCCATCACTCCCTGTCTTCTCCTTTCAAAACCTCAACTTCACCCCTCCCCATCTCAACCTCAACACTCACCAATACATCCTCCCGCAATACACCGGACGCGTTCTAAATTCAACCTCATCCTCATCCTGCACTCTAAGACCAAACTCTCAGTCGCAAATGCAATTCAACCACCGCAGTCCGCCAACAACACAGCACCCCAAAGAAGTCATGATAACCGCAACAACCTCAGTTACCTCAGGCTTGGCGTGGCCAGTCTAGAGAACCAGGTTGTAACCCATTGAGTCAGCTACCGACCAAACCGAACCACCAGGTTCGGCAAGCTCACCAAAGAATCTATTGAGGTTCGGAAGTTGTTCCAAATTTGTACACCTAGTGATTTCACACCAGGCAGATTGTTGAGATTCCTCGGTTCAGCTCGTTCTTGTTGTGGTGCTGCAGAGAAGGAGCCCTTGATCTTGGACGTCACAGGGTCCTGTTTAGGATAGCTGTCTCTCTCGTACGCAACTCATCTTTCTTTAGAGTCTGCTAGTCTGTGAAGTTTATCTTATTTTAGTCTGTGTCTGCATCTTCCCGTTCTGTTTTTGTGGTATAACATCCATTAAGTGCTCAAATAGGTAGTAATAAATGCATCCCTTATATTTCTTCTAGTCAGTATAAGGACTTATCACGTATAACCTTTCGTTGTGATTTTGTTCAAACTCGGGGGTGGTTATCGAACACACAGGCCTTGGAGTTATATTTTTTAGGAGACTAGATTTTTTTTGAAAATTCGGCAGCAACACGTTTGTGATGCGACTTTTCTTCCGACAACCACGACTGGTTACATAGTTTCTGCTTCTACGCAACCTTGTGGTTCGATTTCTTTCCTGTGGCTTCGGTCAGTTATCTAATCTTTTCACGTTCTGAAAGTCGTGAGCAACGGCTTTGCTTCCAGAGGAGTGGTAGAATAGTCACCCTTTCCCTCTGTTTTACAGCAAACCTACTGTGCTGATGTTTTATTTTTGGTGCATCTTACCTGGACCTCATCTCTTCTGTCGAACACTTCGATGCAATGTATTGCTCTTTCAGATACTCAGGGAGAGTCTTAAATGAAAAGAGTGCCAAGATACTTATAACCGTTTGTAGTGACGTGAATGTACAGACGTTGGTCGTGGCTTCCACGTAAGATCCTGCACCACAATCTGTTAAACACAAATGAAATCTGTACTGAGTGATTACTGCAAGAATTCTAAATCCTACTGGAACATACTAATAGCAACAACTTAAGCTGATAAAAATGAATGTAAAACAGTAACACAATATTCGTTTGATATATGTACCTGTAATACATAAAACGAATAATAGTAATCTTTAAATTTTGAAATAAGGAATAAATTTAAATTGTTTATTTATTTTATATATACATGATAGATAATATTAGAATTTATATCTATGTATGTAAGTATGTGTATATATCAACATAGTTAAATAAAACATCAAAGTATTTTTTTAAAAAAAGAACATAGTATGTTTCTATTCATCTAGTAAGATTTTTACAACAATGAATATATCAATTTATCAACCTATAATAATATTTAGTCTTGATATTAAATTAAACTGTAATAAAATTAAATTAGAAGTTAATAATACTATATATTTTTAATGTAATATTCTACTTAGTGAACCAACACCTTTATATTGATAAAGCAACACCCTACTTAGATTCTTATGATTAATTTATATAATTGTCACACCAAATCCACATATAGTATAAAAAATATCATGATTCATTAATATGGTAGATAATATTTATTTCAAAAATAATTGAACATTGTTGTGCACTCTAAAGATGAGATTAACAACACTAGAATACATGATTATGTCACTTTTGTTGAAATAGCTTCAATACCATAGTCTCTTCACCTTGTAAATAAAGTCCCAATGTATTTAAGTTGATTGTATTTGTAGAATCACTTCTTTTTAATTTTCTATTCTACACTACCATTATATCTCTTGAGCAAACCTTTGTAGCAACAAATAAGCCATAGAAAGCATTATGTGTGCATCTTGATGTAATTTTTTTTTTTTTTTTTTTTTTTTTTTTTATCACAATCATTATAAAATCTATAAAATTGTTTTATTAGTGTTGAAATCTAGAAGGTTAGAAGTACAAGTTTTGAAGATATGTTGAAAGTAATTACAATTCTTTGTTCCAAGCAAACAATGATTTGATTATTATACTTGTGTATTCCTACTTTGGAATATTATAAGTTCAACCTTGCCAATCAAAAGAAAGAAGACAATGATCTTCTAATTAACATTGATGTAATAATGACTCAATTGGCAAAAGTTTGATGATACACAAAATAGTTTTTTTCTTTTAATTCTTAAGTGTGAAAAGCATATAACGATATAAAATATCAAACATGTTTGAGGTTTTTGCTCTATTCATGTACAACAACAAGTTAAAGATAATGAAGAGGATATGGCAAAAAAAACATTACAAGCGGCTATAGATAAGATTGATCAATTTGAAGGGAATGATATTATAAAGTATTTAAGATTTTATATAAAAGAAATAAAATTAAAGCATGTTTTTGAAAAAGAGATAGTTCAATTAATTCAATTAGCCTCTATAGTAGAGATAAGAAATCAAGTAAAGTCCATTATATGACATTTTGGAGGTTTATAAAAAAAATTCAAACATTGATGGATGAGTTTTTCTTGGAAGATTATGATTAAATTATAAAGAAGTCATTATTTTGAGCGGATTGAAAGTCCTAAAAAAGAACTTTAAGCAAAAAAATGATTAAAAGAATTTAAAAGATAATCTTCTTATTTATCAAAGAATGAAAGACAATTATTAGATCTAAGCAAAGTAGAGCTATTTCTTCAATTGATTTAAACCTCTAGTCATTATTTTTAAAATCATTTGGCAAGGGCTACTACAAAAACTTTTATAAAATTAAGAGAGTTAGAAGAACCAATTATAGTATTAATTAATTATGATTTTGAAATTAATTTAATATCAAAAGGTTTATATATAATAAAAAAATTGTCTATTGGTACTGAACATAGGTGGATGATAAGATCAACATATGATATCAAAAAAATTTAAATGAGATTTATATGGAGCTTGCCTAAATATTAAATTGAAAATAAGCAATGTTAATTATGAACAAAAAAAAATTATACAAGATATGTCTATATATCCTATTATACTAGGACAATCATATATTATTGCTACACAAATAGAAACAAAGATTATGGATGATGGCTTGGCCTATGCAACAATAAGAAATCAAGATGGAAAGAGAGCAATGTAATTTTTGATAATTTTTATAAATCATAAAAGAAATCAAGATAGTTTGAGGAAGCATTTTTTGCCAAGGATACAAAAAATAATTGAAGAACTTGATGACTCAAAGGATTTTTAATAGAGACTGTTATAAAATGGAGTTACAATAATAGAAAGAGTGATGGCTTTCCACCTAGTAGAAGAAATGAGGCCATTACAAAATTATTACACGATGGATATATTTCATTCAAAAATATAAATAATTTTAGGAGGATAGGAAAAAAAAATGTCAAAAATATGGAACATGAATTGAAGAAATGTGAAATAATTGATGAAGATGAATGAACATCAGAGGTGTTTGAAGAATCTTGCTTTAATGATACTATAAATAATTTTTAAATATTATTTAATTTAGACTTTGAAGGTGTTAATAAAATAATAATTAATAATTCTAAATAATTTTATGATAGAATGAAAGAATATATAGATAAGTATAAAATAAAGGTGGATACAAAATATAAGACTATTGCAAAGAAAGTTAAACCAATGGTATTACTACTACTATTGGATTTTATGAAAAGAATTAAAAAGGCTTCTATACAAACTAATTTAAAAGATTAAAATAAAATAGGTCATAAATTTAAAGATGAATTAACATTAAATGGTTTCAAAGTTGGATGTGAAATTTTTTGATAAGAGATAAAGAAAGATGTTCAATGAAATGCTTTCATGACAATGGTACATACTTATTATGCAAACTTAATAGAACAAAATTAAAAACATCTATAGCAAGGAAGCAAGTCAAATTATTTAGATAAAGAGGTGTATGCACATACTTCAATTAAGAATAAAATCTATTAAGTGACATTGAAATAGAAGTAGAAGAATAGATTGAAGACCAAGAATTTTAACTAAGATGAAGAGTGTCTTATATCAATGTATTGAAGAAACATTAGTACATGCCAAAAGATGCACAAGTTCAAGGGGAGGTGGATGTCATGAAATAATATAGCTATTAAATAAAAGAAGAAAGAAAGTATTTTATTATAAAACATTCCAATAAAAAAATATAATAAAAAATATAAATAAATGATAGGCAAGTAGTAAAATCTATTAATATTAAAATTATTTTTTATAAAAATAGATTCTATTTACTTTGTAGAACCATAAATAAATCAAAATAAGATAGATTATAAAAATAAAGAATATAGATATATGTAGGAAGAAGTTGAAAGTTGATTTTAGCAAAAATTACCTTAAGAAGATAAGAATTGATATTGGGAGAGGACTAATTGTTAGCCAGGATTGAAATCAGATCCTAAGGTACAAAACTAAGCACCAACACTAACTTTAGGATTCTTTTGGAAATCAAAAGGTAAGATTCAAGAATAAACTTAAGGAGAGACTTTTGAATATTGGTTTCAAGTCATTTGAATTAATACTGAGATTTTGAGAGATTTTAAAAATTGATATTTTATTTGATGGATTTAGATTTTGAAAAATAAAAATAGGTTTACAAAATTTAAGTTTTTGTGAGTTTTGTAGTATATATATAATTAAAAATTAAAATATTTATTTTTATATTTTTTATAAATATGTGTAAAACATTTTAAGTCAATTGAGTAATTAGATTGAAATATATGACGATTTTTGTAGGTTATGATCTTAAAAATTTGAGATTTAAGAATAGTGAATGATTCTAAGATGTAGAAATATCTGATGAAAGTAATTAAGACTTGAATATTTACATTTAATCCAATTTTTGGAACGATTGAATATTTCAATAAAGAAAAATTGGTATTGAAAGATTAACATTCAAGTTGGAGAATGAATGCGGCCAACAATTGAGTGGTTTTGGAAGCTTTTCTTGTTATTGGTATGTGCAATGTTCTTCAAATTTTTTAGACTTGTTGCTTCGTTTTTGTAAGATAAAAAAGTTTGAGTCAAAATCAATAGTTTAATTATTAATTATTGAATTTTT